CTCCGCTCCCCCCACACCTGCTACGAAACTTACCCCTGTCGGGTCCAGCAGCTCTAGCCCCAGGATGGGGAAGAGCTCCTGATGTAACGCCAAGAACTTGGACACTGACGGATGGGCTCCTCGCGGGAGAACAACGTAGGTCGGAACCTGTTCGACGATTACAGAACGAACCGTAACGAACGAGCGAGCCGCAACGACAGCAGTTTTGTTTCCGGCGATCGAAAAGCTGAGAGCTTGTCGATTCGAGGCGGACACCGCGTTACTACTGTTCCCGCGTTTGACAAGTTGAGAGGGTGTGTCGATTGAGGCGGCCATCGCTTAAAGCTGGTGCTGGTGCTGGTGCTGGTGCTGCTAATGTCAGATTGAAGGAACAAGCGCAGAACGTCATCTGCCAATAGGTGCCAAACGAGGAGAAAACAAACACTTGCCTTTCGGTCTTCTGCGTTCCACAGCTTGGCGACTCCCACCGCGGCCGCTAAGGAATCAAAATCGGCCGAAATGTGCGTTAGCACGACGTTGTACGGCTGACCGCGGCTCGCCAGCAACCCGCCTAGCCGCCCCGAGGCGGACTGTGGGCCATGCACCATCAAACAAGGGGGAGAGGATGAGAAGAGCATCGAACAATGGACCATGAGTCTCGGGGAGGGCGACGACAATTGTTACGAATTCTTCAATACTCCCTTAAACAGGGACACAAAAATTGATGTGTGGCTTTGGCCTGGGGGGGGGGCTTAGTTGACGGTTGGCCTGTCTCACGTTTCATCGTTTCATCTTAGCGTGCACCTACCCTCTCTACAAGGTTGCACAACGTATTTATCAACGACAGCTGGTTCGCGGTTTGACGGGAGGGAGCGTTGCGTTACTACTGACCAGTGCCCAGGGCACGCTCTGACCGCCAGTACCTCAAATTGCTTCACCACACTTGCTCTTGGATTTTTAGTCATGTCCTTTGATTCACCATCGTCCGCAGCTTGCAACTGCACCATCAGTACCGTACGGCCTTAAGGGCTTTCTCAGGTTAGACCTCCGATCCGAGGTAACACACAGAAGAACTACACCCTAATACTATCCGCTGGAAGGAACTCGGCCGCCCTTCTCGCCTGATACTGCTGTTTGTCTACACCTGCTTACATGCGAAGGGCCGCCGAATCGTGCCTTCTTCGATGCCGGTGGTGCCCAGTGGATACGGTGCAGCTCTTTCGATGCCGGTGCCCAAAAGCCGTACTGCACCTCTTCGGGTGGTTCCGATTCCGGTCCGGTAGCAGATAACCCCGACGATCCTTCTGGCCAACACGCCGCTGCCGGTGGGGCTAGTCGCGCAATCCGTTTGCAGCCTGCCGGGTGCGTGCCGAGTTTATGGCACCGATGTCGCCATGCCAACGGTGCGGCCGGCAAGCCAACAAACGCATCACCCTCCTTGCTGCTGCCTCTTCTCCGACTGACCGCACGTGAGAATCGTGCTACTTGCGAGTTTGAAGCTTGGCCAAGGACACCAAGTTGCAGTATGAGGGCGGCAATATATATACGGCGGAGATACCCACGTGTTGCACATTTTGCCATGTGTTGGACAACGCGACGAGGCGATCTCTCCCGTCGTTCTCACTGCACCGATTGTACTCCAGCTGAGGAGGCCTCTATCGAGAATCACTGCTGAGCTTCGGGCACCCAATACCCGGCACAAGCAGTACGTACAGCGGCCGCTGCTGCGCTGGTGTCTGGGTCTCAGCTGGGTCTGCGAGGGGGCCTCCGCAGAATGCACACACGCCCGCCGGGGTCATGTACACACCGGATCGCGTGATCGCGTGACTCCTTCCAGAATGTAGCAGGTATGTAACGGCCATTTTTCACAGTCCCGAATGCATTGGAACTGCGCCGCAGGGCAGCAGAGAGCGCCGATCGCGATTACCTCTTGTAGTAAGAATATCTGTGATGGTTGATGCTCATGTGCCTTCTGGTGCCACGTGTATTGATCACCTCAAGTTCTTGGCCGTACGTACCCACGCTACAGTAGCGCTATATTCTCCACGTCGGTACGTACAGCAGTAGGATCCACTTCTTGGCGCCTCGAATAGCCTATGCTGTAGGCCAACACACGCACATCTACAGCAGTAGATATAGACTGGTACATATGAGCGGGAGTGCGCCTGCCGTCAGCTCATGGACCAAACACTGGGACCCGTCATCAAAGGTAAGATCAATGGCTCAGAGCCATCAATATAACGGGTAGATTCCGTTTCACAAGACGCTAGAGGGTTGGATTGGTTGCCGTTGAATGCACTTTTTTCAAAGGGGGGTCATACCTTTTCGTCCGACCGTGTCACCTCCAACGGAAACATTTACCTTTGTAATTAATTGATCAGCCGTGCCGAGAAGGAGGCGCGAAACCCTTGACATGTTGTTCCCGAAAGGATTTGATGCAGAATCAGTCAAGAATAGATGAATTTGGAAATCGTTTTGTGCTGAGTGCGCTGGCCTCCACGTTCTAGTCTAGATGTAGAATACAATTGTGATTGACTACGTACATGTATATATATAGTGTGCGCTACCCAGTACATATTGTAAGTGTAAGGATGGGTCAAGCTGCTGCAACATTGAAAGTGCTACAAAAGTGCACAATGTTGTACCAAACTCAACACGATCATCGCGCATGCTAGAAGTGTGGAATTTTCTGTACTTTTGTAGAACTCTTCCCCTTTGACTGCATGGCTGGCATGCCCCCCTCATTTCTGCACACACACCTCATTTTTGCACAAACGTCACAGCAACACTTCTACTACGATCCGTCAAGTGGGCAAACAATGTGGGGCCGGCCCATACCACCGTCAAAAAGCACGGACTCACTTAAGAGAGAAGGGGAGGGCACTCTGTTGGAGGGTATTTTTTTGCAACAAGCGAAAGAAACCGCGCAGCACCATGATGTGCGCCCATGGCGAAGAAAACGTGGTGGGTCGAAAGACAGGAAGAATAATAACAATAGGGTTTTCGCCGATGATGGCCAGCACCAAAACGAAACGATCGAGGACGACGAGCCCTGCAAGGTGAGAGCCTTCAACAGGCCCATTGAATGATCGTACACGCTTCGAAGTGGTGTGGCCGATTGTATCTTCAGAAATGTACCTCCGTGGTCGACCTCCTACAGGCACAATCATATAGTGCTGTTCTGTTGTCGTAGTACCGTAGGGCATTCTTCACCATGCATTTAACCCTCCTAATAATGCTGGACGCCCAAATGGGGACACTTTGAGGACACAGCGCTCAAATGTCTGTTTACCGCACCTTGGTCGCCATATGGGCTCCGCTGTGTGAAACGCACGTGAGCACCCACCCTTGGTCTATCATGCTTGGGTGGTATGCTGTGTGATACGCTGTGTGATGCCTCTCCCCGGCCTCTGACTTGATGTACACAATCTCCCAAGCCGCGTGTCCCCTAACAAACAAAGTGGAAAGACTATACATAGCCTGGTGCTGGAAAATTTTGCTGACTTGGCTTCAGCATGAAAGTGTCCCCACGTGTTTGGGGATATTTTTCATACTGAAGCCAAGTCACCCTTTGGCAAGCAACTCAGATTCTCTGGAGGGACTTGGAGCCCTCGGCCAATGACTGATAAATGTTTCTATCCTTTTTGCGATATATTTTTTTTGCGGAGGGACTGCGTAATACAGGAGGGCTAAGGTCGCGGGGGGGATCGTAGTACCTCCTCTTCAGAAAGTCAAGAAACGCCTGGAAACGCCTGCATATCTTGGTTTTCCAAAGTCTAATCTGAGATTGTAGCCCTTGCGATACACTACAGATTATTAGCGGTCAGCGATTTGCCAAGCGGTCCTTCTATCATCAAGACTCGGTGAGCTACAAGCAGGACTTTCGAGCTACGGTGCGTCCGATTTTGAAACGCTTCAAGCACACAGTGACCGCGAATCACCGCCTATCTAGACTATATACTAGTATGTGAGTGTGTGGGGCCGCGAACTTCAGCGCAGCTCTTCCCTCACACATTTAGCTCGTCGCCATTCATTGTCGATTTGAATACCTGGGGTAATCTATATGCCGGTCTAGCCAAGTTGGTCTAGCCGTAAGCAATGACGCTTGAAGGGTTTCAAAATCGGAACGCACAGCAGATCCTGCTTGTAGCTCACCTGTAAGATAAAGTTACACAATTAGACTAGTCAGCGCTGACTAGTCTAATGGTGTAACTTTATCTTACAAAAGATATACGCTCAGCTCGTTGGCACCCGGCTGGATCACTTGGGTCTAGAGCTTGGGATTGAGAGCAGGGATCTCCGGGGCCGGACCCCTCGCCAGGCGCTGACTGAGGAGAACATAATGGTGCTTGGGAAAGTGAGAAGCCGGGATTCGAACCCGTGCGTGAAACTATTGTCGTCAATTGTGAAATCATTTGTCTAGTCAGCGAGTCAGCGCTGACTAGTCTAATGGTGTAACTTTGTCTTACATCACCGATCTCGATGATGGAAGGATCGTTTGGAAAATCGTGGACCGCTTGACTGTAGTGAATCGCAAGGGCTCCAATCTCAGATACTAATACTGTTCACGAGGGGGGTGCGCGGACGGTTAATTTGCGATTGCAGTTTCGTACTGGAGTTGGACTTTGGAAAACTGAGATTTATAGACAGGGGTTTCCTAGATTTCTCAGCAGAGGTACTACGATCCCCCCCACGCCCTTAAGGTTTGCGAGCATAGCCGTATGAAGCACTCCTCCCTCTGCAGATGCTAAGAAAAGGCATGATGCAACACAGAACACACCCACCGTCCGTGGCAGAGAAAAACGCAGTCGTCCCCTTGTTGTTCAGGACTACATCAGCTTTGCCAAAGAGTACTACTTAACGGCCCCCTTCCGAGACACGGGCGGCAAGCAAACCTGCGTGATATGCCAGAAGCGCAAGGCATCAGCCGTGTTGTTTCCGTGCGAGCACAAATGTGTCTGCGCACGGTGCATCGAAAGAGAGGGCTTCGGGGCAACGAGGACGGCGAGCGAGAGGGAAGCCCTCTGCCCCGTGTGTTGGTGAGAAAACAGGAGTTTTCCGAGCGTTCTTCTCATTTCCGTGCCCGCTCGCGGGCTAGTAGGGTTCGCGAGGGAAGTTATTTGTACCCATCACCCATGTGGATATTTTAGAGGCCGTGTTTGTGTAGCCTGTACTTCAGAATCACCCACGACCAGCACACAAAGACAGATGTCTTCGGTACGAATCCCGGACCCTGACGTGTTGCACATGTATGCCCGAGTGCAGCCAGCAGGTGGTGTTCGTGGCTCCGTGCAAGGGCGGCGGCAAAGAGGCAGAGCTTTACTGGCGGTGGGTGGATGAAATCAAGCCGCCGCTTCCAAAAGGTTTCAAGCGAAACTTTCACAATACGGCCATCTTGCTCCAGGTTAGAGTTTTTTTTTGTAGCGAGCGTCTCCCTTCCGCGTCATCCATACTGAAACCTAGTTGTCAACTCGAGCGCAGTACTCATCTATCCGAAGCTTCAAACAAAAACACGCAATTCTGGGTGCATTCGTCTTTTGTGCGTCCCTCCATTTCCCGCCCCGTGCCGCGAACTCAGATACAAACGGAGCCCGATTCGCACAAGACATGGGATAGGCCGCCCGAAGCCGCGTGCTGCTGCATCTTATCATGATGCAGTGCATGAATCGAACCTCTTGCGGGAATAGTGGTCTAAGGATCTGTTGAGCTTTCGGGGATGCTAGAACGACACACTTTGCGTCTCGACCGCAAAACACCACAAACGCAGTGCTCAGGATCGCAAAGCTTCTGAACCGAAGTCACGTCCACCGTGAATGGGCCTGGATGTTTCAGTTGAGAGGTCGACAAAGATCGAGGCACAAGTTGCGAACAGCACAGGCTTTCCCGTCATCTCGAGAGAGGACTGGCGTGGGCAAAATACGCAAAAAAAGTCGAGGGTACCTAGAAAACACACCGTCCATTTAAAGAAAACAACGCCTTCGAAGAGGGCCTCTCCGCTGCACACGTTGTACAAACGTGAGTCCCCTCGGTGTGTGTGTTTGTTTTACGCCCCTCGTATCGGTTCGTTTTTTACATGCCTTTCCTGATTTTGGGCATCGTCCGAGTGCCCCCGCCGCCTCCCCAACGACCAAAAAACGATTCTATTACTCAACCAACCAGCGACACCAACGGGGTACGAATATCCATATTTCAGATATCGAAGTCGCTTTACGGGAGACCAAAAGCAGGAGCTGAACACCAGATCTAGATAAAGTAGCCTCGCACGGATGAACAGAGAGGGGCTCGAAAAACAGGCGACATCCTTGGATCGGCGTGCGTCTGCGCCCACAAGCACGGAGCTGGGACAAGGAGGAACTAAAATCCACGGGCCCAGCGCACACGTACTTTTGCTCCAGGCACCAGGAGCCATCGAGAGTGAGCAGCCCGCGCTGGCACTACAGCAGTCATTTCAAGCTGCCGCCGTGAGTGTCTGGTCCGTCTTGGGCATGACGCTCGGTACATACGCTTCGGCGCCGGGTGGTCTATCCCACGTCACCTCCCTGGAAACCGTGTGCCAGTAGTACACCTGGCCGATAATCGCAAAACAGAAAGTATGACAGTTTTCGACGAGCGTCGGGTCGAGGCCTTTCTAGTCGCCTTGTCGACTAGTGAGCCCATTGTACAAAAGACGTCGGATGGACAAGAGCATGGCAAGACCATGGCGTAGGATTCGATTTGGGTCACGAGGCGCGACGCTTATGCGGCACAAAATCGAGCGCGATTGAAGGAATTCATGAGCACGCACACCGCAGTATCACAAACTCATGGCCCACACGGTTACTTTCCACAGCTACCGTGAAAGGGCAAAAGCGATGGAACGCCCGATATCTCCGAAACCACACAAGTGCAACCGTGTCGGCGAACAGAGAGACATGAAAAGCTGCGCGTTGCCCAAATCAATCCGACAAGCTTCGTTTGATTTCTCCCCCTTCGCTTGACAACCTCTGTACCCCCTTCGAAATACCTTCCAAAGAGAAATCACGGAGAGCGAGAACAGAAGGGAACGGCGGTAATCGAAACCCACCTTTCCGCTCTCCGCCAAGCAAGCGCGCCATCTCCCCTCCCTCCCGCCTCCGCTGCCGAAGTCTCCGTGGAGGACCTTCTCCCCGATGCCTCCACTCCTGCCCCCGGTCGTTGAATCGGCGGCATCCCCCTCTAGTCCTGGTGCTGCCGCCACTATGCCCTTTCTCGACGAACGCTTTCCTCTGCCTCCTTTCGCCGCCTTCTTGCTGGCGGCCTTCAGCTCCGCCGTAGGGGGCGGGGCAAACTCAATGCACACAGCGAAGAATTCCCACTGCGGGGAACGTCCAAGGGGGGACGGGGTCGAGCGGGACGTGACGAAAACAAACGGACAAGGTGGGTGTTAGCTTCCGTACCATCGCGATGGGCGCGATCATGGACATGGTGGCGGTCAAGCATTTGATCTTGCACGGCAGCTGTATCGCTTTGGGAGGGTCTGCTTCAACCGACCTTCAGCGACGGCACAGGATGGGACAAGAGCGTTTGGCACCCAAAACCTTCGCACTTGAATGCATGTCGGTACTATTCTCGGCGATTGGAGACCACTCGCGCCTGGACGGGAGAGCGCCGACAGCTTCCAGACTGCAGCGTAAACACGCGCGGCGAAGAATGCCAGAGGTCTGACCAGCAGGAGCCCTCTTGCGACAAACTCACCACATCTACCGCATAAATGTCGGCGAGTTCCGCGTCGACGTACTCCGCAAGCACCCGAACATGCGGCTCCTTGATGCTCTCGTCGCTCATGTAGACACCTCTCCACAGGGCGCTCGTGAGGACGTCCATACGCTCCTCGCGAGACTCGAGGGTGTAAGCATGGTCATACTGGAGGTTCCGGTATAGCGCAAGGCCAACGAGGCAGGTACAGAGAAGACACATGGCCGGCGAGAGAGAGAGAACACTCAGAACTGCCCAAGTGAACTGTGGGAGTAGTGCGAGGACAACGAGCCGCGGCTGCCTCGGGACTCATCAACCGCATCTTGCAGGAGAGAGACAACAACAACAACAACAACAACAAAATGGCAAAATAGCGCTGAGCTTGTTCTCTGTCCGAAGACCCGGGTAACCATGCCACCAACGGCATACCGACCGATCGACCAAGCGGCTATTTAGTTATAGCGTAGGCGGTCACATGGGAAGCACACACGGTAGTGTGCCTGACCTACAAAGACATGAACAACCGCTGGGTCGACTATCGGCACCAACTCAAAAGCACACAGCGTTCCGGCAGAGCAAGGGCGAGAGCGCCCCAATGTAACTTTTGGAGAAAACCTCTTCAGTATAGACAGCGCAGGCATCCGTGGTTCCCGAGCGGCTAAAAGTTTTTTGTTTGTTTTTCTCCCATCATTGGACTCTGCCGTCTGCCCCTCTGGCCCCTATCCTCCACTTCTACTAGCTAGACGACCCAACCGGGGTCACATAGGAGGGGGGGTTGGACCCCTTCCTGCGGTTCATGCCTGAGGTATTTTTATCGCGAGAAGGGTACAGCAATCCCTTCCCTCGCGACTTACGAAGTCGATTATGGTTTACTAACAAACGAGCTTTGCAGCGCGTCGCTTTCATCCTAGACCAGGATTTATTTAGTGAGAAAAAAACTCTCTCTGCCGGGACTCGAACCCATGACCTGGCCCTTAGCAGGCTGCGAGGCTACCCACTAGACCACCGGGGCGACCGGTGTAAGTATCAACAGCAAGGGTACGCGTGTCGCGCTGACTTTTACCTGCACAAGGGTGATGAACGTGTGCTGCTGAGCTTCAGCGAGATACTTCTTGAGCATCATTTCGGATACCTGTGGTTACCACGCAGCGTCGATTCAGAAGGGGAAACGTGTGATTACGTAGTGATTAGCACCGTCGTTCGGTGCTAGTTCGAAACTAAAACACTGTGTGCCCCCCTGCGCCAGAATCTGGCGCGGCCACACACCTCGGATTTCGATTCAACAGCCAGGAAAAGCCCATTCAGATTCACCCCTGCAACTCGCACTGCACCCCATATGGATTGAAGGCCTTTCCGTCCGACCTCGGTCTCAATCGAGGGAACAACACTTACACAGCATCATGTTTGGGGTATGAAGGGAAGGCACGGTGCTCCATGAGTCGCCGGCAAAACCAATGAATAGACACCTGATACTTGGTCGTGAGAAGAACTACAGAAATGACCCGGTTGCAGCCTCCGATGCATCAGCGCATCCGTGGCTGCGATAGAGGGGCCGTCATTCGCTAGCACAAACCAAAGCTTGACACGCTTCACTAAACCGTTAACATCCACAGCAGCCATGTACACTGCACCGCATCACCCTCTCAAGACACGGGTACTGCTGTCGTTGGCTTTCTTCCCACCTCGATGGAGCGCATCTGCCGCTTTGTCTCGCGCCACAGCTCGTCGAACAGCAGCTCCTGGACCTTCTTTCCCCGTTCCCCCTTACGGACGAAACAAAGGACGACATTGTGGATACGTTTTAGTGCAGTGATGGCCAACAACCATCTGTGACACACCGATAACTGTGCGCGGTTACAACCAGGGCTGCAACTACTATCCAGACCACCTGCATGCTCCGTCGATGGTGACCAGCTCGCGACACCAGGCAATGGTCATGTGAGTGCAGAGGTTCCATGACTTGAAAGCGCGAACGTAGTTGCAGCGGCGAAACCAACATGATTTGTTGCTGGTTTATCGCTTACGGAAAAAGGCATTTTCATTGCAAGAAATGCTGTCACGCGATCTGTGTCTCTCCACCCACCTCTCGGAGTAGTCGGCGGGACATGAGCCACACGTTGGTGCTGAGCCACAAAAGCTTTGGGAGGAACTCGTTGCTGATCTTTCCATCCGAATACCACTCCGTGCACTGCTCGGCCGGGGGGGGGGGCAAGCAAGTGGGTAGGGCATACGTACCTATATTCATGCTGATTCTCGCTCCGATGTTTAAGGTAAGTTGTCTGGCGGCATAAGGCCTATAGCATTGCCAATACCATCATGAAACAGACATGCAATTGTGGAAACCCACAAAAAAAAGCATACCATAGGTGACACAAGGTATCACGCCCCCTGGATCGACTTCCAAAGCTCGATTGCTCCATGGCACAGAGGGTGACGGTGCCGACAATGGCGAGGTTGGAACCGTCTATCGAGAGCTTTCTGTCAACAGATCGTTCGATCCGTACATCCTCTTCGGCGTGGAGTAACTGACCTATGAAAATTGGTCCAGAGGGGTGTGGTATATTACGTCATGCTACCTACGGTGAAGAACTTGAGAGCTATACCGAAGCGCACTTGTCGTAGCAAGCCTTCATCGTGGCGATCAGCGAGTGTTCCGCGCGTGAACCCTGCAGGCATGCGTCGCACTCTACTACCGCTGTGGCGGCTTTTAACACACCTCTGCGTTGTTGAGGCAGGTCTGCAGCATCCGCGCGGAGGACAGGGCGTTCGTGTTCTTGGTCGAGAAGACGCCCATGATCTTGCAGGGCCAGTAGAGAGGGTCAGAGGTCTTCCAGCCCCACTTCTCGTGCAGCTCGTGATTATTTATCGCTGATCTCGTGGTGAAGAGAAAAATAACCGTTGTTATCAAAAGGAACGTCGTCAAAAGCAACCATTGTCGTCAAAAGGAACGTTGTCAAAAGCAAAGAGGAGGGGGGAAAAAACGCCGTTGGATTGACGTGTGGAAAGCACGTTCCACCACCGCGACGCGAGCGGTTTAAGCGGTGAGGACACGTGGGATTTTTTGTGTTGACTCTCTGCAAGCACGGGAGAGCATCGGCAGAGCAAGCGGACTGTTGTACATTGTACGAGGACGCGATGCTTGCTTGGCAGAGCCAAACTCTTCCCCAACCTGCTTTGGAAGCAAAGCACAAGTGAATGACGCTGGTTTGCGAGTGGCATTGGTCGAAATTGTGACGATGCCACGGCATTGATGCACATCATCAGAGGGGAGGACTATCCACAGCAGTATATACAGAAGGTGTCCCGATATAGTGCCGGTTGAATAGTGCCAAACGGGCACTATTGAGGGCTGCCCGCTATAGTGCCGGTTCAGGCACTATCGAACCCGTCAATAGTGACGGTTCACGCCCCCACACTGCCTTTTTTCGCCTCAAGCCTTCCACGCCAAAAGGATTCGGAGACGGTTTCCCTTCGAGCTACAAAAATAGCTCGATTTCTCTCGGTACGCGTGACGTCTTCAAATGTCACGGTTTACCCATCGACTAGGCTCCACCAATAGGCTGGGATTTCAGTAGTAAGGCGAGCGAAAAGGAAGATAGATGGTGGTAGTGACGAAGGATATGGAAAATTAAGCCAAGGATAGCAGTGATGATGCAGGAGGAATATATGGCGTTGAAGGGAACAACAAGAGTTTCGAGCGAGATGACCTTCCTCACAACAAATGCCGCAGGGGCGTAGAATCCAGAGATGAAAGCCCGATAAAGAGTGGAAAGATTTTAGTGAAGAATATAGTAGTGGTGGTAAATAAAATGCTTCTGAGGAAGGATGAAAACACTCCGAACAAACGCGTGTTCAACAGTAGTAAGCCTTGGCAATCGCGTAGTTCTCCTCTCTCGGTTTCTACCATTTCTGTCTTTTACCCAGAGAATAGCTCAGCCTCCTCAATGACACCCTCTCATTTCCTCGAGAAACAAATAATTTCTGTTTTTGACCGCACTGAGACTGACGACGTCTTTTGGTTGGCCAGTCGTTTTTCTTGCTTCTGAAGGCTTGGTCTTCTCTCTAGCTTTGTATCGAAGGAGCAGGGGAGTTCGTTATCTTCTTCACCCCCTTTTTAGGTTTCATCTGCTTTTGTGTGCTCATGTAAGGAGCACTTCATCCATCCATGTTTTACCTCCATATGTACATCGGGCGCATGCATGAGCGTCTTTCTTTCGCTGTCAAGGGGTGCCTTTGAGGTTGCCTGGACAATCATAGCGCTACGGGCTTCTTGCAATGCAACACATAATAATTTGATAGCGACGTGAACTTTTATCGGGCAGCACGGTCTACGGTTGAAAGGCAGCAGCAATGTTTCACTAGCGAGTGCTTGCGCTGAGGTGGGAAGAGCACAACTGCTGTGCAGCAAATCCATCTGGTCAATCAAGGTTAATTTTGGTGTGACCAATGCCGTGTTGTCGACAGTCCAAGAGCCTCACGAAAGGTAATGAAGCCCGCCCACGTCGTCCACCTCACGATTGATCAAAATACCGTTCGTTTGGTAAACTGTCAGCCCCGCAAAGCGCAAGCGCTGCACTCTGAGGTCGAACAGTCCTGAGAAGTGCCGGTGCCCGGTATAAGTCTAGTACCGGTCAAATCGCCTGGACACCGGCACTATGTGTCCTCGCTCTTTCTATTTCATTTTCTCTTTCCTTACTGTTTCCTTTATTTTCTTCTCTTTTTCTCTTTTTCTCTTTTTCTCTCTTCTTCTGTGCCAGATGGGCTTGTCTCTGCTTGCGTTGTGAAGTACCAAGATTGAACCAAGGGGGTGTACCTCGTTCTCTCCGGCCCGTGGTGGTGACTCCTCTGGTCTCAGTTGTTACCGCGCATAGCGCGCAGAGGGAGTGGAGGACTCCAGAATATCTGTCGTTGATTTCTTTTGACTTGCGTACCCCTCGGGGCCATTTTATTTGAGTGCACCTTTTAAGGGTAAGTTAGCCTGCGACCAAGGGAATCGACCGCGTCGAGTGTTGTATCAGTACGGACAAACGAAGGTACTGGGTAGAGAGAGATTGGAACGGTTTTTAATGTGAAGACAACAACAACTATATCAGGACACCTACTGAATAACGTACGTCCTGGACGTGACACAGCAGTCCATACACCGAACGAGTGCGTAAGTGTAGTCCACCCAGCAGGGCAAGTCGGCACCACTTGATTTGCACTAGAGTGACGCCTCAGTTCCTACTTGAAGAACTCAACCTGTTTGGTATTTGCACACAGGGAATTAATATCAAAGCAAGGTTTGTTGTGTCTCCCGGGCGAGCTGGACCCATCTGGGATCTGGGGCTCGGGCGGGTGATTTCTTGCGTGCGACTGACAAGATGGGACTGGGGATTTTCAAGGTGTTTGTAAAGCTTGCTACTATACACGGCAACATTTTGTCTCACCGTTCCTCGCTGGCGGTTCGTCGGAGACTTGCCCACGATCATCGACCTCCGCAACCTGTCTCTGTTGGGTAGTCGTCGTGGAGGTGACCTGTCTACACGGTGCCCTCGGCAACAACTTCTGCACGGCCGGACAAGACGCCGACGCTTTGGGAGATGTTCCGCTGTTGTGCACCCGCAGGGGACAGCTCGCAAATCCTCGGGCGTTGCTCGCCTTGACGAGCGGCTGCACGAGTCGCACGGCAGCTACGACTGTATTTCTTCGAAGCCTAATGGAAAGGGGTGAATCAACGGGCAGGGCAGAAGGGATGACAGATGAGCGTTCAGCCGATAGAAGAGGGTTGATGCTGACTGACACACGGGCCGCCGTCCCCGAACAGCAGAAAGGACGTAATGTTGACCAAATGAACTACTACAGAGCACCCAATTGCCTCCTCCGTACGTACTCACTGCATGGTCTTCCCAGCTTTCACCAGCTCCGCTCGTGGTTGTGCTACGGCTGTGTTCAAATTGCACTGGGTGTGCCACCACCACTGCTGTGTTGTGCTGTGCTTGTGAGCTGGTTGACACAGAAATTGCCCCAGAAATGGGGGGCTCGCAGATGAAAAAACGCATCCTCACCCGCACCCCAACATGCCTGATGCCCCTCTATGAACGTGCAGCATCACATGTTCATTTGACTTTGCACGGAAATCAATACGAATGACTGCAGCGAAGAACCCGTTCGAGATAATGCCCCGGTCGAAGCGGTGTGTTACAATGCTTACCGTGGGTGTTGAGAAATACATACGTTTGGATCGCATTTATTTTGGGGAAACGACGACACAGACAGCAGGATTTCACCCCCTCGTGCGGAAGGAGGGGTCGGAACAATTTCCTGGCGGGTTACAAGTGAATACAGAGTAGTGAGAATGCCGCAACGGGACTTCTCGTGTCGATGTTTCTGTCGCAGCTACACCTGTCGCCTTTTTACTGTTGAAGACAAAAAGAAAATTGCCCCTGCGCAAAGACCGTATCATCGGCTTGAGCCACTGCTATCTCACCGCCGTATGCACACGCATGCACGTTTTTTTTGTTTGGTTTTCTCGCATCATTGGATTCTGTCGTCTGCCCCTCTGGCCGCTATCCTCCACTTCTACCAGCTAGACGACCCAACCGGGGTCACATAGGAGGGGGGGGTTGGACCCCCTCCTGCGGTTCCTGCCTGAGATGTTTTTATCGCGAGAAGGGTACAGCAATCCCTTCCCTCGCGACTTATGAAGTCGATCAAGTTCACTCGAGCTTTGCAGCGCGTCGCTTCCAAGGGAGACCAGGATTTTTTAAGCGAGAAAAAACTCACTCTGTCGGGACTCGAACCCATGACCTGGCCCCTAGCAGGCTACGAGGCTACCCACTAGACCACCGCGGCGACCAGTTGTGTGCGTGCGGAATGACTTTCGCCACCAGAAGACTCGGATCCAAATCTCATCATCATGGGTCCAACTTGACCATGGCCACATCCGAATGCCTGCAAACAACTTGCCGACGCCGGGCTGTTGACATTTATATTTGGTATTCCGACCATCTCGCCCTCTGGCCACAACCCAGCCAAGTACACTTGGTGGTGGGTGGGCTTGACCAATCAGCGTGGGGCCTCGGAATCACAATTTCCCCGAGGCATTTCCTGGTGTACCGTTTGTCGTCACCTAACTCCCCGGTGTACCGCTTTCTGTTGCCCAAAGCATTTTGATTGCCCTTGCCATAGCTCCCAATAAATGAACACAACTTGTGGGATGATAAGCACCCGCTCAGATTATTGCAAGAGGTGCATCATTTTGCACCACTACAAACGTCGAGATCGATCATATTTCGATGTCTGGATTACAAGTTTCTTTCATTTCCGACAATCGGTCGGGCCTACAGGTCGTCGGAAGACGATAATATCAATAGCGCTACCATTTCTCGCCCGCGTCCTCCCGAACATCGTGTTGCACCCAAAATATGTAGGCTTGTTCCTCTCGCTGCAAGGAGAAGCGTGTGTGCTATGCCCCCACTACTACTCTCCCACGATGTACTTAACTAAGAAAAGCCCGCCAAAATAAAATAAAAGCTCACGCAAAAAAACACACGAGAGATATCTCCTAGCTTGCAAGTGTTGTTGTGTCGTGGCATACGTAAGTGCTCTACTCTGTTCCTCGTGTCTGGCTCACCACGATGAATCCACGTAAACGCACAGCAAATCCCCAACCCGCCCGCTGACTGACGCCAATGAAGTAAAACGATCACAAGCTAAGCAACGTTGCCAAACACTAGTATCAAAAAACACACACACATCAAGCCTCCCTCCTCGCTCTCCATTCATTCGTTCAATGCCTGCCAGAGCCCCCTCTCAACATGAATATAATTATGAATGCAAAATCTGCGAGCGTCGGGCATCAAGCGATCTACGAAAATGGCAAGCGGAGGAGGGGATTGACGTGGAAACAACATGCGAAACGATTTCACCCACCCGCGTCCGCGCGACCGCGGAATTGGGAGCTACAGCCAGGGAGTCGGTTCAACGAACACATAAAATGACTATCCATTTTTCTGATCAATCAATCAAATGACTAACGATCACAGAGGAGGAACTAGAATAAAAACCGAAACAGACAGGATAAAAAAAAAGAAGAGAGACGATCAACTACGCGTATAACAACGAGAAAACCCACAGCAACAATAAGAACAACGACCTACCGCCTCAACACACACCGAACGTGTGCGACGGGTGGTGCGTGCAGTAGAAAAGACAAACTCGCTTCACGTGTAACGGTTTCTTTCTTCTTAGATAATGGTCATGTCCCAAAAAACAGCGCCAAACAGGCCAAGATACTTCTAACTTGCTCCCAATTCACAACGCGAGATTCCTTCGTTCCGCTTCGAAACAACTTTACCGTCGCACCATCATCCAAGCAACTTTTTTTCAATTTTCCAAATGGGTAGACCCAGGGTTCGCGGACAAGCGGCATCGTAAATAAACGCGCTTGTGCCCCGCTCGACCCGACATCGACGACCAACCAACGACCACTCCTTCGTGCCCCTGGGAGCAAGAACCGTCTGATTCAGTGGTACTGGGCCAGCAACACAGCAGCACCGCCGGCAGCTAAGATCGCAAACCACCCCGCCGCCCAGAAGCAGCTACACCACGACCACCTCGCCGATTCCCCCACAAACGCCAAACGAAAACCAAAGGGTAGCTAGTAATACAAAACACAAGAAATATTAGACCGTAACACCAAAACGTGGGGGACGCTGAAGCGCTACCCTACTGACGAGTACGTGAGGGAAGGAGAAAGACAATCCTGCTGATGCTGCTGGTGCTGGTGCTGCCGCTACATCTGTTGCTGCATCTGTTTGCTAATAACCAAAGACGATCCTCGCTGTCGAAAGCCCAAAGCAACGACCCATTCGGATAACGAGCGCTTACATCCATTCCTACTCTCACACGGAAGACATTCTTATTTTGAGAGCGTTCAATAGCCGCATCCAAATTCTTACGTTCCCTTCCCCCTCACTCAAAAATATGCGCAGCCTCGTCGGGGGGGGTCTCGAGACACAGCTAAGAGAGAGAGCCGAAGCGATGTCCTCGCCTCGCAACTGCGCCCATTTGTCCTGCAACCCTCAACCGTGGGTTCGCCGAACACCCGGCCGTACGCCCTGCCGTGTTTCCCAATTGCGGCGAGAGCGTGCAGAGACACGACTGCACTCGCATGCTGTTGGGGCGCCCACGTAGGCCCCGCCTTGTTTTCGCCCTACCACGAGGCCCCTCCCCAAACACCAGTGCAGCAACAGCGTTGGCTACCCGCCCTGGAGCAGGCCCACGAAGCACAAGATCACCACGCTTTATCCATGCATCCAGGAGGCTGGTCCCTCAACGTGTTGCCCGCATCAGGAGCCAAATCACGGCGCATGTCATCCAATCTCTTGTCGGTGTGTATGTCGCCAAGCTCCCAGTATTATGTTCAATGAGCAATCTCCGCCCCATCTACTCGCCGGTTGCCACAACCTAGTACGGCGATAACAGCAGCCGCTGGCGGCGCACCAAGGCCCTAATCCATCCACTAGCTTGGCGGCGATAGCAGCTGCGGCTTGGACGTATCCCTCACCGCCCCCCCGCGACCATGCGTCCCCCGGCCCCCCGTGCGCGCTGGCCACGACCCCCCAATGAACCTCTTCGCCTCTTCCCCCAATCGCGCGTATGAAAGCCTCGAGGGCATATGTTCTACATTCGCAGCGGCGACGGCAGTGGCGACGGCGGCGGCGGCGGCTTGTCGGCACAAAGAACGGCGAAGGGTGCAGGTGTTTTCCGGTCCTTGCGATCCGCTTCCTTCCCTCCGTCAAGCCTCAGGCCCAAGGATAGAGGGTATCAGTGCGATCGGACCTCCCGCCGCCGCGCCAGGTTCTCGTTCAACCCCCCCCCCCCGCCCCCTTAAAAACTGAACACCCCCCCTCCCGCACCCCCCCTCCCCGTAAAACAGCTAAGATATCAAGTTTTTTCATTGGTTGCGGGTACCGTGCCCTCGCCTCTGTTGCTTCCAAAGCGCCACGGGGAGATCGTCCCCCTCCTCGTCGTCGTCATACGGCCCGTCCGAAGTCTGGCAAGGGAAAAAAACAAACGAGTGGGGTACGGGTCAACTAGTGCTGCTGCTGCTGTTGCTACCCCTGCTTTCCGGCACCAAAGGAAATGCAGCGGGTGGAACAGAAAAACGGGTTCAGAACACAGCAGTCTCTCGTCCTGCGAGATTCTTTTTTGCGAGCAAACTTTTCATCAGGGTGTTGCGAAACAAGCGCTCAGGGAGGGCGGCACGAGGGTCGCAAGTGGGAAGGGGGAGGGGAGGTAACGTGTACCAAGCACGCTTGGTATTGCGCAGAAGGCTGTCTCACTCTACATTCGTCCAGAGCCGAACGGTCTAGGACCTTTCGCCAAGCAGCATGCAACAGCACAAACATGATATCACCTGTCCCACCAGACTCCGTCCCGGCTTGTAGGGATGCGAGGTTAATGGTCTAACGCCTACGGCATGCGCGACTATGAGTACACCCTATGAGTACACCCACCAGACCATTCCGTCAATCTGTCCTGCCGGCCTTAGCACGCTGATTCATTTCGAAAGCCACGATCGTTTCGGCTTGACAACATCAACTCTAAGATGCCTAGAACATATTGCTACAAACGTGCTTGTTCTACGTGGATGCATGAATGCACGCCCATACACACAATTGCCTACCAGGACCAGACGCGTCCACCACAAAAGCGGGGATTGGGATTGTGACGTAAAAAACGACACAGCGTTGATCGCCGCGCACCACTTGTGACTTGCAATCGCGTTGGAGGATATTTCTGAGTCTGTATTTGTTGTTGTGATTTATATCGTGTGCATCCCTTCTAGGATAGTTGGCCTCTGACCACGGAAGTCATCACCGGGACGGATGCTAGAAAGTACCGAGAAGAGATGGCCTTGATTTATTGGCGTGAGGAAAAAAGCAACAGCAACAACTGCGCGATCATTGTGTTGAGAGTTTGAAACGTGAAAACAACAACAACAGCAACCGCTCCGCCTTCCACAGAGGCCGGCGGGACATACTCGAACACCGACAAGCGCCGCTTGCTCACCATCTCTGCGGGTCTCTGAGAACTCCCCATATAGAAATCTCGCCCGTGGCCGTGCAATATCCCCATCCCATCGTCACCCCCCATCGAATCGAGCGGCTCCCCCCAGTCCGCGTCGTCCTGGTAAGCACGACACGACAAGACATGATCAAAACACGGCGGAAAGGAACCGGGGTGGGGGGGGAGGGTCAGTAAGAGGCTTTTGTGGCATGGTACGCAAGCACGGCCGTGAGAGCTACGGAAAAGAGATCACGGACAGAGATACAACCGCCAGGTAGAGTGACGTGCACGCGGAGCAACCAGCCACCACGCTCGGTCGAAATTATGAGACTTGCAACACGCAACGCTGGCCGAGAGCACGCCAGATCCGCTACAGCAGTAGCCGTGTTTGCAAGGACACCAAGCCGTGCTCCCGCGGCAAACGAGACCAAGACACCAGGAGCAATTCACGCACTAAATTGTGCGAGCCGAACGTGCTGGCGAGGCCTAACGGGTGGAACTACCATGGATGCCAATGCAACTCGGCGAACACTGATGGTCCGCAAGAGCGAAACGTGGCAACTGACCCTAACCCTAACCGCATCAACACTGTCACCACCCAGGGCGTGATGAGGGTGCAGGGACAGCTACGTTTGGCGGATCTCAAGTTGACACTGTCCGTTGCACACGCTCCCGGGGGGGCGATACTACCCCACACCACAACCGTAGCAGAGCAGTACACTGGTTCCCGCGTTGAACGGTCCGGGAGAGCGCGTAGAATGAATAGAACACCGTCGTTGGGCCGCGTAGCCCTTACACCGCGACTATTGTTAAGCTCGAGAGCAGGGTAAGGCGAGTGACGACACAGGGAGGCGACAACTCCGAGAACACCACGGGGGAGGGAATATACTCCCAACTTCATGAACCTCCTACACGGCACAAGGCGGTAAGCGGTACATCACCACAAAGATGGCCATAACGCGTCTACTCCCCCGCATGCTCTCGACGGTCCGTCCAAACTTCTGCGCAGCGATCCCGCCCGCGGTTATAAGAGGGCACCATCAAAAACGCTCAAATACCCCAAACACCATCGGCGGGCGTCGTAACAACTTTTCTCACCTCTTCCTCCACCGTTCCTCGTGGACCTTGCCTCACGTGCGACCGCCTGTACCCCCCCCCGCCCCTACCCCCCGCCCCCGCAGACTGCGGTATCACCCCGAGAACCTGCGCCGCCTTATCCGTGATGTTTCCGTCCCGCGGAGTCACGTGCTGACGGTACGGGTTGTGGCCGAACACCTTCACACAACACACAAAAACGTGTAAATGATGGCGGCACGAGAGCACGACAACAAAGAAGAAAAAAAGCCGTTGGAGAGAGAGAGAGAGAGAGAGAGAATTACAGATACACTGGACTGTTAACACAAAGAGAACGCGGGGGGGGGGGACAAGAGAAAACGTATCTAGCGAGAACGTACTTGTAGCGCGCGAGGACGAAGACGGGGTCACTTCACGCGCGGATTCCGACATCGACGAAAAGCACAGTTTTGACCCATCCGACCAATAAGGAAGAGGACTGCGACGGCAGTAATCCGCAGAGTCTCGCCAGAAACGCAAGGCATTTCTTGGCGCGTCATTACGCGAGCACGCAACAGCACTTCATTACGCCTTCCTGCGCCCCCGGATCGTGAACGCACAGAAAGTGTCCTAGCAATCAACACCACCCGTAACCACAACACCTAGTGCACGCAAAAATAGGAGTGCGTTCATACTGCCATCTCCGCTTCGGCGCGCGGCTCCGACTGTTCATGGGGGAAATGACGGCGACGCGACAAGACAGACACTGAACGTCCGCCCGCCCGCGCGCGACAAAAAGAGTGGTGTGACATAGCAGATACAAAGTACGATTTTCCGAAAAATGGATCCGTCCAAGATCTCGCACCTTGGCTGCCTTCGGTGGGACGTGCGTGTGTTGTTCGTTAATGCCCAAGACCTGTCGCGCCTTGCTTGGCACAGGCACGTCGTGCGGCAGGACGGAGTAGCGGTAGGGCATCGACGTGTCGATCTCCCGCACATCGTACAACTCCCCGGTGTCGCGGTTGACGACGGTGTACTTGGTCTGGCGGGGGGAGCGGCCAGGGCGCGGAGAGGGGGGGGGCGAGGGCGAGGGCGAGGGCGAGTACGCGTCAGCGATGAACGGCCGGCATCAAATGAATTTCCGGCAACATCAAGTCACAAAATTGCAACGCATGCACATGTGCTTCGATCAGCCAGTGAGTTTCCATCAATACTCGCCACACCTGACGTGAGACTTGACAAGTGGGCTTGAACTCTACTCTTGGCGCCATGCATGCTAGGTAGGTAGAGGTAAGGAGTGCTGGGAAGACCCGGAACTGAACTTGACATAAGCCGGTGCTGCAGTACACCAGGAAGGAAAACTGCCGATGAATACTGCTGTGCGTGATCTTCACACGGCAGGACCCAAGGGCAGTAGCAGTAGCAACACCAGCTTCATCGTTACCGTTAGACTATGCGGTCCAACGGCCTATTAGTGCCTTGCAGCAAAAACAGCAACAAGCACCACACAGGCCTCGCCGCGTTCGACCAAGTACTAATGATCCGCATTATGGGGGACAGCCAATACTTCGTCGCGCGTTGTGTGCGGAACGGAAAAAAAATCCACGTCTTTATGGTCACACCACCGAGGACGGGTGTACGGCTGAACCGTTCTTGAGAAAAAAAAATACGGCATCCACAACGTGCAGAAAATGAGCAACACATGACTTGGTGCAAAGACTCCCTGGCGTCCGGCATTAATGGGGACGCAGGCACACGTGTTTATTGCCGAGGACTGCACATGATTCCACAAGTCAACAGCACGCGCCCGGTTGGAGTTTATGGGAGTGTGTCGTTAACATAAGGATGGACATAATGCATGTGGTCAACCACTGCTGTAGGTTCAATCCTATTTAGACGAACCCTCTACAATGTAATCGTTACGTCCCGTGGGCTTTACAACACACCTTCCGCGTCAATTTGAAAAGAATTTCCTCGACGAGCTGAGCTGGCTAGCAACCGAACCAGTTTTTGTTGGCGCGAGGAGTGAAAAGAAAATTCTCCAACCAACCTAGGCACAAAGCCGATCTCGCAAAGCACGGGGAGTAAGTAGCCTTGCCTACCATGGCTGGGCGCGGGTCGACTTACAAAATAATGTGGTATGCGCACCCTCGGACCACAGCTCGACAACACACACCCAGCGACCTTATAGAGCCAGTATTGATGGCGAAGAAATTTCCTCCCCGAACTGGGTATCAACATAACAACTCAATCATTCGTAGCCAGCGCGGACGAAAAAAGTAAAATTTCCTCACGAACTGGGTATCTACAAACTGAATCATTTACATGCCAACACCCAACCAGACCACGGGTTGGAAGTAGGAAAGCCGAGCTGCCGACACGGCCTCGGGAGGCAGCTTTGCGTAGAACGGCCGCCGGCCGCGCGTCCACTCAATGATGTGTGGTGCAAAACACTTTCTATCTTAGATGGACCTCAGATAAACAATACCGCACCCAACGACGTTACACAAAAGGCAGCAGCCCCATACACGCCAAATAGTCCAAGTCTTGCCAAGTTCGTTGTACTCTGGCGCGAGAGACAAGCCCTGCTCTACGGCGTTGGTGACAAACGCGAACACTCTCTTATCCATGGGACACGGTTTTGGGGTTGGGTCTCTCACGGAATGCGTCGCTCCTGTACCTGGCTTCCCTCTCGGTCCATAGGATGAACTGATTGTGTGAGTGGAGTTTGGCACAAAAAAACACTTCGATCCTAATCGCCGTGCCGTGGATATTCATGGCCAGCAGCCGATTTTGTTGTTGCAAGCACGCAGACGCCGACAGGGTCCCCCTACCGCCCCGTTTTCAAGTTGTCACTGCTTCGGTGTTCCCTATGACAGTTTGGTCATGATCGTCCAAAGCCTTCGATGGTCGAACCTGCAATTTGCCAGTTCGTTGTTGGCCTGTGTGCTCGTCGACAGGAAGAATCAGGGAGGATCCTGGGATACATGGAATACTTACGTATATGACACAAGATAACACACACCCTTGACCGATTTTCGAAGCTCGATTTCTCAACTGCAGGAACAGTCACAGCGCCGACAATGGCGGCGTTGAAACCGTCTCGTCGAGAGCTTTTCGAAAATGTGACATTTCGTTTATGCATCCTCTTCGTCGTGGAGTATTCGAGCTTTGAAAATCGGTCCAGGGGGTGTGTTATCTTGTGTCATATACGGTATGCTACCCACGCGCGCACTGTATTCTTGATTAACACCTCCTTTCAATTCAAGACTACCAAGGGTATGTAGCAAATGTATGCATTCACCGTGTCTGTCCCTAGGGCAAACATCGACCGAAAATCCACACAAGGACGGCTAGATAGACATCCAAGGCTAGAGTCAGTCGTGGAACAAGCCAACCAAACAGACGGGAAGGCACTGAGCTGCTGTCGCTGTTGCTTGAACAACAACACACAAAAAAACGAACAGTTTGCATACAGCAGTAGCAATTCAACGAGGCGCGAGTAACCGAGTGGATCACCAGTCGCGAACGCACGAAAGTCTTCTTCGCAAGCCTTCCGTTATGGACGCCTTGCTTGCTTGGGGCTCAACACATCAATGTAGGAACAACATACACCTGCGAGGAAGAGGCTGTTCGCCCCGCCCCCCCCTTCGAGCCTGGCCGCACGACAAAAAAAGAGACAGGCAGTTGTATCGAATTCGTACCACGAAAAGAATGGTCGGCAGTCAAGTACGAAGTACTTTTGGTTGTAGGAAGACCCACGTCTCTTTTGGGAGCAGATTTGATCACACAAATATGTGATGGGGCTGACCTGTAACGTTTCGATGAGCAGCTCCTTGCTTAACGAGCTCACCACGCGGTTCTCCACGACCTTCAGCACCCGGTTATCTAGTCGGATCTACTCAGGCGTGATCGGGAACCGTGCGGGGGGGAGCGGCGCGCGGGTTGTTAGAGGGAAAGAGCGCAAAAAAGAAAGTCCTCCAGACCAAGAAAAAAACGGAACGACCGTCGTGTGTGTGAGAGAGAGAGAATTCAGCAAGCAGACGAGAGAAAAAAACTCATGGCGGTTCCAGCGCCTTCTGCCCGTGAAGATATACCGACAGCAAGGAATATCTGTGGGATTGGCGCCCGCATGAAAAGGGTCCGTGCCGCATGCATCCAAGAATAAGACCTTTTGTGCCTCACGAAACAGGCGGCAGGCCGGCGTGTACAAAACTCTGCTATGGTGCGGCCACGAGCTCCGGGAGAGAGAAGAGAGGAGGTAGAGATTTTCGTTTGATTTCACACACAAACTGCTGCTGGCTGCTGGGTTGCTTGTTATTTGTTCACAAATCGTATATGACAGCCTGGGACAACAACAAATACCTGAACATCATGCCAGCAGGCAGAGTTTAGACAACACAAAAATGTCAGTAGCAGCGGGGGTTGGTGGGGGAAACACCACCGACAATACTCCTTCTCGCTCACCTCGTGAGCCTTTTGCATCGGAACGCGGTCTACTGCAAACCCTGTGAAGATAGAGCTGTAGGTAAACGTGGGCTTGTAGCCCTTGAGTACAGACGAGAGCATCTCGTAAGGTGTCACCGTCGGTTGTAGAATCACGATGTACGACTCCGGGATTCGAATCTCGCGCACAGCGGTCGGCGGTGGCCGATGCGGCCGACTTGATCGAGCTGTTCTTGTCCCATTCGCCATGGTCGCTGGGGCCCTGCCCTGCACTCCGCAAGTACCCCCTGGCTTTCCCGAGACACTCCTCCTGTAAATCCGCTCTCTCTCCTCCTTTTCCTCTCCCTCTATTGTCGGGCGATTGATTGTAATCTAATCTGCTTTTTCCAGGGTAAGGAGGAGCGCGCGTGTTCACCCCTGCCGTCGCCGAGCGATGTGCGTCGTGCACGCGCCTCCTGGCAGGTCCGTGGGTTGCGATTGCTCGAGTTCGTGAGACCAAACACAGCAGCCGTAGTCTATCTTCACAAAACGTGTGTTCCCGGTTTGTGACTCCTCGTCGTCTTCGTTTTCGCGATATTGGCGAAGACCCCCCTCTGTTGCTGCGTGTGTCTTCATGGTATGCGATATCGCCAATCTGTGTGCCCCCCCCTAGTTGTTTCGTGTTTCGTGTTTCGTGCGCCTGCTCCCAACTCCCGCTCACTCTGCGCGGGCTACACACACGCAAGATGAAGATGCCGAGAAGGGCGCTGGCCAGCCTCGTACTAGGAGCCGGAGAACTCGTTAACGCAGCTACAACACGAAGCCAAGCGCGAAACGATGGCCGCATCCTCCTGGATGCCGTCAAGGTATGACCTACAATTCCCGCACACAAGATTTGTCCTATTATGCATACTCCGATTTACTCCGGCAAGCTACGGAGCGGTTACGCTGCAACATTTGGGTGTCCTTTGGTTTATTTGCCTCAGCTACACACCCGAAGCTTTGGTTGAGCGAGCGTGTGTGTTACTGGGGTCTATCGACTGTCGATCAGTGCGTTCGGCTCGGCGAGAGCTGCGGTTGCGCTATATAGCAGTGCATGTTGTCCTGATTGAAGTTTCCCCATCGCCATGCTGTCGCTGACAAACCTAAGGGAGGTACACACACATGTGTCCGGATTGTGTAAATGCGGTGCAGATAACTTTGTGTGTGCACAGAAACACTAACACACAGCAGAGAGGGAGGCGGGGCATGCTGAAGTCTGCTTCATCGGTTGGCCAATCAAAACGGGCCTTTCGATTAGTCTATGCTGCAACTGCCCGAAGTCGAGTACAGCAGTCGTCGACCTTCATCTGTTTCCTGCCTTGGTTTCCGTCTATCGTTCTTTGTTTCCATGCACCCAGGTTGTAACGCTCCACGACTCGAGGGACACCGCCGGGAGACGTTCTGCTCCTGTTCCACAGCTAGTCTGTCGAGGTACGTTTGTTTCATCGGTGCTTGCGATCGTACGAAGGTGTGACTACCCACAAAATAGCAAAATAGTTCCTGCCACGCGGAGAAAGCTCCCGGCATCCAACAAAGGTGTGACGGCGTACACGTGTCCAGCCGGCGGCACACCACCACAGCGAGAACTTGTGCAAGCTACATAGGTTGGTTGTGGTTGTTGCGTTTGTTCTACACGCGGACCACTCTGCAATGAATTCCTCCTCCAATACGCCAGCCTTTGGGTCACTTCGCGCCCGAGGAGTTAACACACTTTTTTTCTACGCTCGTCAGAGACTCTCGCCGCGCGCGGCGTGTGCGTTGTTGTTTCGTGTCAGTTGCTAATCCCAAAATCTAAAGAAGACTCGGTCCGTGGTCACAAAAATGCTACATGGCCACCAGAAAGTTTCCTGGCAATAACCAGAGCGTGCGGCTCTGTCCTGTCCTCTTTGGACGTCGTAGCGCTCCATTAAAACGCACGGCTCTCAAATGGTACGGCGGTGGTTGCTGCGCATCATTATCGACCTGGTGCAGTGGGTACAACTTGAACATATCTTTTGATACGGGCGTCATCCATTAGTAGCGCTGTCCAGCGAACGCGTGTTTTTATCCTCGGTGCGCTATTACCACCAGGGCAGTAGACAGCGTTCACCCTATTCTTGAGTAATGTATGCAACGCCACCCCCCCACCCCTTTGCCTCTCCTGCATAGAAAGGCAACGCTCAGGGAGACAACGTTCAAGTGGTATTCATGCTCTCTTGTTGCACGTGACGAAAGACCATCTTGCTTTAGCTCGTGCCTTTCGTTTTCGCTTCTTGGACAGGAGCAACACGACCCCCAACCGAGCTGCGCAAACAATCGATCAACGCCCTTGAGAAATACCCCCACCAGAGCGGCACCGTTCTCCGAATTCATCCATCTCACATTGTCTCTTCTAGTGTTTGACAGGGGAAGACACTGCTCTCTCTACTCCCCCCCCACCCAATTATGTTGTGTCATCTCCTTCCCCACTCTGTTCTTTCGTGTCTCTCGGCTCTAACGACCTGCAACCTACACCAGGAGGATGCCAAGAGTGGACTCCGCAAGTCGTCCAGTGCTACAACATGGGGAGCGACGGCACCGACGCGGCGTGGAAGTGCGAGGCCAACATGCCAGACGGTTACAGCTTCTCCTCTGTCGAGGTATGACATAAAACACATGAACGGGTTGATTAACCCTTTTGAGTCTTCAGGCGTTCTGACTGATCAATGATTGATCATTTGCACATGCTGGTGTAGTGGCAAGTCGTGGAGTTGCCGCCCTGCAGCCCTTCGCGCCGTGTGTTGGCAAGTCCATAGGTAGGTATGTCTAAATTTATAGCACCCGCGCTAACCGGCTGACCAATGAAGAGACGTCAGTGACAGCGGGTAATATCAAGGTCTCTGGAATTGGGTCAATCACTTTTAAATCATGAATCTCTCAACGTATGTACATGAACGTGTGTGTGCATACATACATACATATAAAGCACGGGAGGGGTATTGCAAGCCCTGCCGAAGCCCAGATATCGAGGATATCGTGTGGTTTGCTGCATTTCCCAACAATTTGAAAATCGTTCCCAAGATCCAGCAGTCATTGTATCAGCAGCTACAACGAACGCTACAACAGCACTATGTTGTAGACGAGTAAAACAAACCAGCAACACATCCACACTCGTAGCGCCACACATATCCTCGCCCGAACCTAGGAACCCACGAAACGTACAGATGTGTGCTGGTGGATGTGCTTGTTGTTTGAAAAACACCGGAGCTCTAGAGTGCTGGCGGGGCACGTTTCGGGGGGGGACAGGGAACAGAGAAGTACAGAAGTACAAATACCAGCTATGGGTCTTTACTCATCATTTTACCCTCTCTGGACTGATCATTTACAGCATACCGAAAATAGATTAGTTGAGGCGGCTAGACGACTGATCATTCCAAAGTCTACACAGCAACCTGCTCTACTGACGGCAGCGCGACCACCCATCAACCCTTCTACGACCCTGTCTGTGGCCGTCACCCTGTCACCGGCTTCCCTCATGGCCTACAGGTGGAAATAGCTGTTGCGTGTGCAGAAGTACACTGGTGTCTTTCTCTGCCCTTCTCTCTCCCGCTCGCTCTCGCTCTTATATTTTTGTTTTGGCGCAAAAAGAAATAACTGACAGTCCAGCCTAGACCGAAAGGGGTTAATGAATCCGTTTGAGCTTTTCGTCTTGTTGTACTTGGATCCCGAGGCCAAGTTTCTCCCTCCAACCAGCAGTTGTTCTGTCGGCGTTGAGTGATACGCCTAGCGGCAGAATGCTACTCTGCGTTTGGTACAAGCTGCATGGTAGGCCCTGTCAGGCCGTACGTCGCGATGCGCTTCATAGCGGTCAGCCCTGTGTCGCTCGTTGGAATCACCGTTCTCCTTAATCCTCTCGGTCTGTGGGGGTCACTGCTGCGAAACGGCTATTTGCCATTGACTGTTGAAGTAACAGCACCGAAAACAACAACGATAAGTTGGTCGACCGTGGCAGGCGACACATTGACTTTTGTCTGCGCTGACACCCTTAGTCATGCCTACGGAGATGGATTGGGCACTGGTTGCTGTGCGGCGAGAAACGGCGTTTTGCTGCGCCCCCCCGCCCAATACTTCGTGAAGCGTTCAACACAAGCACACATGGTTCCCAAGCTCGGTCAATCAGAAGGTTTTTTGTTATTGTCCAGATTCAGGTCGGAGCCCCATCACCGTATCAACACCCCCGCTCGATCGCCAACAAAGACAGCCAAGGTACTGCTTTGCTTCACGCGAAAACTTACTAGTATGTTCGATCCCCTTCGTGGATCATAGTTGTCCTAACCTGGTTAAACATACTCTCACTTTTTACGTATCGCCTCCTCCCCCGATTGTCCGCCCTTTTCGTCGTGCTCCTTGCATGTGTACCAAGGTGGGCTGTGAGGGCTACGACTACCCAGACGATCCCTACATCCTCAAGGACTCGTGCCAGCTCATCTACTCCCTCAAAGCTTCCCCCGTGAACGGCGGCGGCCGCGGCGGCGTAGGCGACGACGGATGGGGGAGCTCCGCGCGCTCGTGGGAAGACGGCAATAATCCCACCTGGGACGGGCGGCCGGCCGGGAGAAAGCACGGGCGTGGGGAAGTGGGGACGGGGAGGGATTTCGGCAGCCGTCTCGTGACGTGGGCCGTGCTAGGGGTGGTCGGCTACGTGTTGTACAACACGTTCCTGCGGGCCGCGGAGACCCCCTTTGGCGGTGGTGAGTGGGACGACGCATGGAACTGGAAGAACGCTGTGCCGTGGGGGGGGGAGAGAGGAAAAGGGGTGTGAGAAAGCCGCGTGTTGTTATCGGTCTACACAGCAGCAGTAGTGGCAGGGGCAAGCTGGCGCACGGGTTTCGGTTTTGATTGCTAGCTGTGTACGAATGGAGATCCCACACCATGAATGGCTGCAGCGGCGTGTTTGGTTTCCAGAGTGTCGCGGTGCAACGGTGTTTCGTCTGTAGCATGCTGCTTGCAAGTGTAGTCCGTCATTTTTGTGTTCCATCCTGATTTTCCGCATGGCAGAAAGGGAGCAGCTTGTTTTCTTGTTTTGGAGTCCACACCTCTCTCACGGATGTATATTTTCGCTCGTCTTCACAAGCGGTCGCTGTCGTCTTTGCTCAACCTCTCCGGTCCTAGGGTACTGTTACATTGATGGCTCATTTACCGTGTGCGGCGCCCTTACCTCTCGTCGTGCTTTTGCCGCCCAATCAAGAGTGTCGCGCGTTCGAGAGGCTCATGGCTATTGTAGTGTTGACGGGTGACATCAAGATGCTTTTTTTCTTGTTTTTTGTTTCACATCGACTGGGACTCGGTCGAATCAAATCCGAGTCTTGAGTCTCGCGTCTACATGCACACACCAATCCTTACCTCCAACCCCACCCAAAGTTGCGTCTTGTACTCTTCGGCAAGCTCGTGGGCACCTCCCCCCCCTCTCCCCTTCTCTGCACAGCGTATTGCCTCCCTACCCCCCAAGCAAACAACGTTTGGTGGTACCCTCCCCCCATGTTTTACCATCGTTGCCTGCTT